CTCAAGCAGGCAGTGCTCCCTGAAGGTAAGCAGCAGATTTATGTTAAATCCTACATATTTATAGATGTTTAAAGACAGTGTTAAGCAAGTTAGTTTCATCCCACCCTTATCTGTTTTCTGCGCCCCGTGTAAAATCAGTTCAAGGTAACTGCAGGGCAGCCAATAAACAAGTGCTGAGGAGCACACGAGCACAATCTGTTGGAACGCCAAGTAAGGAAACAAGAACTTCACAAGGCTGACCTGTTTCTGAAACATCCTGTGGACTCTCATGTTACTCAGAAGAAGCAAACACAGCTCCTTTTAAAATTTCAACTCACTGGGGCAGTGTAAACCTTCGCAAAACCATCCAGAAGGAGCAGCAGCACCTGCAAGGTTTGCTTTGGATGGTACCAAGCAGCTCAAAGAAAGCAATAAATTACTCCAGTCCACAGGTCCTGTCCTTGGCTCCTGTATATTAAGTGGATTCAGCACCCTGTGAAACAAAACCTGTTACCTCACAGGAAGGCTTTGATAAATCTCCTGCATTTGAGGGAACGGAATACAACCCAATCAAGCTCTTTAACATGAAGCCTGTGCAAGTGGTGTTTATGTGGTTTGCATTTATCTTCTATGCAAGTAATGGAGCATGCTAGACAGCCTCCACACACTTCTGTAAGATGGGAAATTTCTCATGGTAAGCAGCAGTATTTATCATGACATTAATACCAAAGCCATCAGTAACAGTTTAAGTATCTTTTTTAATTTTCTTACAACCACTTAAAACTGTCATATAACACAAACTTTTGTACACTATTTACAGACAAAACAAGCAAAATATCCATCCAAAATAGTTTTTAAAAAAATCCTCTGATTAAATTGTTACACCTGCTCAAACAACGGTGGGACTTAATAGGCATATTTTCTTGTGCATGTTTCTCTTCCATGTAGTACTTCAGTCTCACTGCATATATATATATATATTTTAAAGTTAAAGAAAGATAAAACAACAAGCAGAAGGGACACAACACAATATGCATTTAAATCTTTGTTTAAGAACAAGCAGCTAATTAAAAAAGGCAAAATACAGGAAAAGTGCATCAGTTCCAACAAGTTAGTATAAGAAAGAGGCCCAAAGGTGGGGAGCTGGTACCCTTTAGGGTAGAGTCTCCTAAAAGACCTCTGATTGTCTATAAAGATTATTTAAAATTCCTTTTAAACAGAAATAATAATTAAAAAAAAAAAAAAGAAATTAAAGAGGAGAGGAGAAACATGACACCTCTAGATTATTTTTTTTTGCCATGAGGTTTCTTGGAAACTGGTGCTTAACAACTTTCAGAGTGGGGGAGAATTCCTTCGTGCCCGGAGCTCACTGTTCATTCCCGAGCTGAGCCTCGGTCAGGGCTGTTCCTCTCGGGCTCTGCAGGGCCAGAGGGCTCCCACAGACACCGTGTTTGTGCTCAGTCAGTCAGACCTACTGCCTCTGAATTCAGTCAGTGCAAGACCTGCTCACTCCCATGGCTTAAAGCTGAGCCAAAGCACCCAACAGAGTAAAACTTTGTCTTCTCATCAAAAGTCCATTTACGTGTCTGGTGCATTTCAGAACACAGATGCCACTTGAGGAAGCGACCGTGGAGACCAAGTGTCATCAATCTTAACTTATTATTGTTGTGTTTCATACAGATTATTATTATTATTATTTTTAGAAAAAAACACGTAACAATAAAAGAGGCTTGTTGTCTCTGGTGTTCCCAAGTCCCATTCTAATCTCTCACCCAAAAGGCTGCCTTTGAAAACAAGGCTACACACATGTTGGGGAAGGGAGGCAGCACTCTGAAATAAGGGTTCAGCACACAATCCCTTTGAAGGGGAGCCTTCATCCTACACCTGAAGTCTCCTGACCGAGCCTATGTCTTTGTGCTTAGTTATTTTTAGTTAATTTGAGCTCGCAGTAGGCAGTACCCAGTCTGCCACGATGTGACAGGACTGGTTAAGGAGTAGCTTCGTACAGGATCATGGTATTTTTGGCTTTCTGGTAAGGCTACTTCATCTAGTAACAACAGATTTGGTCCAAAGGTATCCAGTCTCCAGTTCGAGCTTGATAGTTTTGAAGCCTATTCCGTTACATTCAAAAATCTCACAAGCCACTTGGCTTTCTGCAAACTACGTACCGAGTCTTTGTACTTTACACAGAGGAATGGAGTGCTCAGTCCAACCAACTGTAAATATATTTACAATTCTGTGGACCCAGCAGCTAAATACTCCTTCCCTCCTTTAAAGCATCACTGGAACAAAGAATAAACACTAGCAAATCCTAAAGCAATAACAAAATACTGCTAAAAGTTGTGACAGAGAAAGTAATCTTAAAAACCGCTCCCAAACTCTGTATGTACTGTTTCCATTAATCCCAGGAGAGACTGCAAACACTCCTGGAGTACTGTACAACACAGAAATTAATCTGCCTTTTATTTCATTCCTCAAAGAGGAACTTTCAGAAATGTTTCGAGTTAGAAAAAAAGTAGTCTTCATTCACCAAGATCAGTGCTGTACCTCTCCTCTTCTGGAAGGACTGCTTTCAGTTTAGGATGGACTGCAGGCTGCTCATGCTCTGGGGGATGATCCTACCACATGAAACTTCCATGGCATTTCTGGAGGTCGAATATACTTCTCTATTACAGAATCCTTGTGTTGGTGCAGAAAGCACACCCCAGTAACCAAACAAAACCTTTCTGCCTAACCAGGCTGAGCTCAGCAGAGCACGAGTGGCACCACCAGGTTTCTAAAGCTGTGGTGTTGCAAACCCAAGACTGCACAGGGAGTATGAAAACGTGACGAGCAAGAACACAAACCCTCAGGGGGTCAAGCCAAGGGTAAACTCCCTTTAGCAGCCCCAGAAACAGCCCAGTGGAGAGTTCATTTTCTTGTGCTGAAGACACCATGGCCTTTCTCCAGGACTCCGGCGCTGTTGTACGTACGGTGAGCGATGTGGTAGAGGACGGCACAAATTCCTAAATTACTGCAATCCCAGCAATTCCTGCTGGTGAAACGTTGCTGGCACCCCAAGCCACGATTCAGCCACCAGCCAAGCAAAATCCAGTTTTGAAGAAACAGAGCGACTAAAGCCCCGCGTGAGCTGATTTCAAGTCATGTTGGAATAAGTTGAACAAATAAGTGCAGTTGTGTCATCTGCCACGCACAGAGAAAGAGGAACTTGAAGCAGAGTCAAGTAGAAACACCATCCATCAAGATAAAGCCCCAATTATCCCTTTTAAATCCAGCAATAAAACAGAGTGCATTTTTTTTCCCAGGAAACAGAGTGTACAGTACCCGTGTGCAGCATAAAAACATTTCACAAATAATGAAAACATCCCTTTTGAAAATCTCAACAAAAATAGATCCCATTGGGACCAGACTGTCAGTGCCTCCCAAAACAAGGCAGAAAAATCCAGCCTATAAAACATGCCAAAGGTGACCAGTAAGTATCTCACTAACATCTGAAACTGCTGACTGCTTTATTTACTGAGAAAAAGAAGTATGACATTTGTATTTAAAACCCTAGGCACCATCTTAACAGGTCCACTAAATTACACTGTAAGCTCTGTTCTCTCCTGACAGCTACTTAAAAAGATATCTATCTGTCCATGGGGAAAGGTGGAAGCAACATCTCTTGGCTATGCAGGAGGCATCAGGGCAACAGAGCTCTGGAAATCATATTGCACTGATCCAAAAGCATCATATTCCAGCCCAGTTCTCTGCTGGTCAAATTTCTCAAGACAAGATGCTGACAGCAAAGCAGCAGTGTTTCTTTTAAACTCTTTTCAGGCCTAATAGCTTATCACTGAGCTTGTCCTAAGGGAATGGAGTACAGGCAGATGATCTAAGCACAACATGAAGAGCCAAAACATCCATTTAGTGACCACATAACTGGTGTGAGGAGGAAGAAGGGACACTTTGATTTCAATTTAATTACGTTTTCAGACTCTGCTTACAACGTGGGAGAAAAATTGTCCGAGCTACACGCTGCCCTCCCTCAGGAATATTCAGCTAATAAACTGTCTGATATTTACGTTTTGATTCAGGAGTGGGAAAAAAAAATCTGATTATTTACTTCTGTAAATAGTTCTGCCTTGACTAGGCAGTTATTCTAAGGGGCAAAAGCAATAAAGCCCCGTTACTGAGCTTTGCTTGGTCTAAACAGTTTTCCCTGGAGGCAGCTCCCCCTCAACACCAATGTGGCAGGCACAGACACAGGCTGTGCAAACTCAGCTCTCAGCTTACAGACACCTCCTTCCTGAATCCTGCAGCTCACAGCATTGGAACAGCCCATCCCACTGGGCCTAAGGGACACCTGGATCCCTCACAGTCTGACCAGAGTGACCCGTGCTCGTCACAAGCCAGTAGAGGTGCCTTTCCTAAACCAGTTCCTGCAGAGAGAGACCCTTCCTAACTCACACCCCTTTGTATGCCAGGGGCTTCCTGCAAAGATGGATTTGAACAGCAGATAAAGGGCCATGGCTGCACACACCCAGCTCTGCCTGTGCCCCTCCAAGGATGTGAGGAAGGCAGAGTGACCGAATGCGAGCCAGCTGAAACTTAACGCTCGTTTGACGCAGATCTTGAGCCTGATGCAAGTTTCCCCACACCTTGAATGGAAAGTAATGTAAGCCCTGTTGAAGTGTAGAGCACAGGTCTGCAGCAAGTGGCTGACTGGGTTTTATTACCCTGGAAAATTCAAATCAGCAGTTCATCCTACGGTGAGCCTACTGATGGACCTAAGATGTCCCTCTGGCCCTTTTCCTTTTTTCTAATAAAGGCAGACAAGGCCCTTCCCAACCCACCAAATTTTCACCAAGTCTGATCCTGAGCATCTGTAGATAGTTAAAAATACAAAGTCAAGCTCACAAGAGTTTCCAGTATGCAAACACTGGCAGAGCTTTCTTGCAGTCCTCTATTGATTGCAGTTTCCTTAGTGTATTCTCTAAAAAGATGTTCAGGTAGCAAAGCAAAAGTCTGCTGACAGGCTCTATGTACACGGCCCAATTGTTTACTAGAAGAAAAAGGAAATAACTTCACACAATTTAAAAAAAAATAAAAATAATCTAACAACCAAAATATAGAAAATGCAGAGGCACTTTCTCTTTCCTTCCTTATTTCCTACAGCCCGTCTGTAAGAGAAGTGCAAAATAATTACGTTTTCTGACATCCGAAGAAAAAGGAAACATCCAGGTTACGCCTACACAGGTTTCACTAAAGCTTTGGAACAGAAGCTCTGTATGCTGACATTGGTTTGTACTCTGGACATGCCCACAGAAGCCAGACTGCTGTGCAGCTACAGACGATTTGTCCAGAAAGAACAGTTCCCTCCCTTTTTAGCTCCTCACTTCTACTGTTCAGGCTACAGAGGTAGTAAAAACAAAACCGAAACCCAACAACAGTGAAACAAAAAAATTTCCCAAAAATAAACAAAAGAACTTCAAAAGGAACCACACTCTTGCTATACTGTACATTCAGAACCCTGTGGCCACATTGTTGTCCTAACAATGAACAAATTCATTAAAAAACTCAACATTAACACACGAATGTGCAAAGAGCACATTCCAAAGTCAGTGCTGTGGTAAAGCAAGTGTTTGTCCACAGGGAGGGAAGGGGATTCTGTGAGACATCAGGGACAGAGAAAGGTTATTTCTGGCAGCCCACATGCTAAACGTAAACAGGATCCGATTCTCCTTTTAAAGTTCCGTGCCAACAGAACTATTGAAATGTCATTTCCCACGAGAGGAGACTTTTCTGTAATCATTAAAAAATACATTAGAAAAAGGGAACCATAGAGCAAGAGACTATTGTGTTCCCAAGCTGGCAGCTGGTAGAGGAGCCCCTGTGTTTGCATTGGCATTTTGCTCCAGATGTTGTCTTCCTTTTGTCGAAATAGAAAAATCGAGGCTGACACACACTTTCAGGTCACCAGGGCCTCAGTTTAACTTCATTTGGCTTCACTTGCTAGAGAGGAAGGAGCATGTTTTTGTAGTTGTGCTTCAAAGGTCCACTTCAACTTGGCTGCTCCTCAGTTTGCAAACTGCTGGTAGAAGGCAAGTTTGACCCTCTCAATGTGATGGCAGAGTTTAATAGCTGGTCCAAGCTTCAAGTCCATACACTCTTGAACAGTGGGCAGGGTCAGCAGCAGCAGGGCCTGGCCATCGATTTCCTGTCAGAAAACAAAATTCCAGAGTGACTTTGTATTTTTATTCTCCCTGCTCCTTCAGCTTTGACTTGCCGTGATTTCAGATTCACGACCATTTGTGAATTAGATGTTTCTTTCGTGCTACTCCAGGCAGCTTAAAAATCTCTCTCACAACAAGTTAACTCCTTTCTTAAAATGTCAGCTCAAATTCACTGGCTGAGGGACAGAGTCTCATGAGATGCTATTGGAAAAAAAAACAAACAACCTAACAAAAGAAACCAAGGAAATTTCATGCAGAAAGTTATTTTACCCAACCATTGCATCTTTCTATAGAAACAGAGGTTCTACAAGGTCAAGTAAATCCACCACTACAAACCATAGTTCTAGTACTACAGCTTTGATAGACAATGCTTTTTATGCCAAATTTTAACCAAGATGCAAACAAAATGTTAACTTGACTCTGTTTTGTACTCTGCTTGTCATACTAACACAAAAACATTCCCCCCTGCAATATGACACTGTGATACCTGCAGTTACTCTGCAAAATAGAAAATATTTATTATATGGAAAAGTCAACATAAGTGGTAAAACTTTATCTCCTAGAAAACAGGCTTCTGCCTTCATGGTGCTTGGCTGCAGGCATGCTTTATATTTTTGGGATTTGGATACCCCACAGACCAAAATGCCCTTCACTGGGTTCTGAGAACCTGAGAAATTCTGGTCATTCCCTTAACTCTCCTCTCCCAAACTGCTGGAGGTTGCACAGGTGTTTGTTTCCTCGGGACCCTACTGAAAAATTCAAACTAGTTCCTTCTCATGATTCCTTAGAGGATAAGAAGCAAAGTGACAGATTCTACATTTTAACAGACAGAAAATGGTACCTGGTCAAGGAAAATTCTCGCCAGTGGAGCACAGTCAGTGGATTTGAGGAATCGTACCACGTCAGCCACGCTCCACTCCAGAGGGTTACTGTCCAGCTGCAGCTTTTCAGCAACTTCCATCTTTATGTCCTAGACAAGCCACCCAGTGCAAAAAGAATTCCCAAAATATTACAAATGCCATGGACCAACACTCCCATCTGCTGCCCCAAACTCAAACATTCAGCTGCCAACTAAAGCTCTAAGGAGAGCTCAAACTGCAGAGGTTTCTTGGCCAGCAGAGATGTGCAGAACAGCCTTCTGACCAGGGTGGACACTCCAACAGTGTTACACACAGACAGCAAGGATCTAAAACCCAGGGTTTGGTCCACACCATGTCACTGCTCTGGTTGAACCAAGAGGAGTGCCAGCAGCTGGGAAATGGGAAAGCTCACCATTCTGTCTACAGCTTTCTGCCTAGTTCTTTATTACAGTCCTGTCCTGTAATAAAAATCGTGATTTTTAATTACTCTGTAGTTTCACAATGCCCTCTATGGGGTAACAGAGGATTTTATGAGAACACATGTGCAATGGTTAACACTCCCAAGGTATTGGTGCTTGCCCAGCACTGAGCAAGCAGGAGCAGAATTCCACATTCCCAGTTACCTTTGGCGAAGGAGGTTTATTCTCATCATCAGAAAAGGAAAAGGTCCTGAGCTTCCTCTTCCGCTTGTCTCGGTCCTGAGCCAGGGAATGAGACAGTTCACTCTGTGTGGGAGATGATGACAGCGATTTCTTCTCTGATACCTCTGATTCTTCAAGCAGTTCATCCTGGTGCTCTGAGGTACTGTCCTCAGTCAGAGACTCCTCATCCACCTCATCCTGGTCATCCTCCTCTTCTGCCCCACTGCCCTGAGGAGTTCGGAAAAAAGAAAAAAAGGCAATGAAATGAAAAACAACGGGAAGTTTAGGACAAAAGCTGCAATTGCCACCCACTGTCAGCTGCAACCTGCAGTGACAAGGAACTAACACCTGCTGTTTAAGTGAAGCTGGTCAGAGATCGCAGCCCGTGCCATTAACGCTGTTGGCAGTGCCATACCTGGGGGGATCCAGCTGGGGTGTTATCCACTGACGTAGAAGAACGTTTCTTCTTATGAACAAAAAAATGTTTCCGCCTCTTCCGTCTTTTATTTGGTTTCTTCATGGCTACTTCCAGGTTACTGTGGCCACCCGGGGGCCTTCCTATCCGCTTGTTTTTCCGCTTCCCATAATAGTGTGCTACCAGGACAGAAGAAAGGAGCACCGTGTTGAAATGCACCTTCAGTGTCACACTAGTTATGTTTGTCCATCACCACGACTGGAAAAGTCAGTAGAAGGACATTTCCCAAAAGGAAACCCAGTTCTGCCCAACCTTCAAAATCAGCATGTCTATGTCTTCCTCTTTAATTTGGTTTAAGGAGCAAGAGTTACTCATCAGTTTTCTTTGCTCTGTAAAGATTTACTTCCTCCATCCCTGAGAAGCCCCAAATGATCCGATTTTATACAAAAATCATCAGTCATAGATTTGGTCCAATTTAATTGTGCTTTTTATAATGTTTTGTACTTTTTAAATATGGCCTCAATGCACTGTTTGTTCTCACAGTGTCAAATGGTTAAAGTCAGTTTACAAAAACCCTGAAACCTAAGAAAAGAGCTTGAAGGAGTATTTTGTTGCACAACAAATTGGTAAAAGCAATTATAATGCCACTTCAATTACAACGTTAGTCAGCTCTTGTCCCAAAAGTTGTCTTAAGAAGGTAAAGCTTTAAGCACACAACAAAAAGTTAAGCCACAGTTCTACTACTTAATGTAGAATCAATTTTTTCTCCCCTGCACATTGGCACGTGGATATTTTGCACGTTTGAACTTGAGCTGTTCCTTCTGAAGGCAAAGCAATGGATTTTGGATTCCTTCCGGAGCCAAAGCCAAAAGAAACTAAAATGTAACACTCCAAGCTCCACTTCATTATGAGATTAGTGAACTACTCACTGTACTTAGTCTTTGTCAGGACAGAGCAGTTCTCAGAACACTTATCCAGCACCATCTGAGGGCCGAAGAGGTTTGGACAACATTCCAGCTTGATGCATGTTTTCCTGCAGAAATCTGCCACCCGATCTGCCGTCCTCACAACTTCCACAGTCGCACGGTAGCTCTTGCCTTTGTATCTAGCATTGGAAATACGGTCACAGTTCAGGAATCTTCCAATTACCAGCAGTAAAAAAGTACTTCATTTATTGCTTTGAGATCAAACAGAGAAATATGAGCAGTGATGAACTGCACGGACTGCCAAGTCCAGGAAACAGGTACTCCCACCTCTTATGACAGATCCCCAAATAAAGAAGAGCCATCACCAGCATCAAACACAGCATCATTGCCCTGTCAGTGACTACCAAATGCCATCTGAGAGGACTGTCCCCACGTTCACGTTTTGTTTACTCTGCTCACAGATGGTTTGTTCTTTCTTTGCTTTCATGGGACTGCAGCAGCTCCTGCTGTGACATGGACAGCTGGTCCCACAAAACAACCCCGAGAGCACCCCCTGAGCTGGTAACAGCAGACAGCTTTTGGTGAGCCTTCTATGCACAGTCTATGGCAAGCAAATGGATTACTGCCACGTTTCCAATCAACTTTTATCTCACTGCTGAACAGTTTGCCAGGACAGTCACTTGCCATGGCTCGACATATTGCTCCTGTTTGATTTAAATCAAGAAAAGATTTGTTTTTGTTCACCAGCCTTGCCATTACCCTGACAGAGCCACTCTGTGCAGTATCTGCCAGAGCTGTTCATCATTTTTGCTTTGTTCTCCCAGCACAACTACAGGCACATGCTGATATCTATTAGGGGTGTTTCAGGCTCCAAGTATCTCGCTAATGCCTTGAAAAAAAGAGCAATATTATCGTAGTCCAGATATCCCTGGTGTCATTACTGTGACAAGAGAAAGCACATAGCAGCTTCAATGAAACTAAACAAATGTTTTTTCCTTTAGTCTTCAGCTACATCTTCTATTTACACTAATCTTTCATATCCCCCCTCCTATTGCCCAAATCCAGAGCAATCCTTCAATACACGGAAAGGTGTCTTTTTATACACGAAACTGATCCAACAAAAGATTTACTGACATGTTGAAAATTATGTAGGAAAGTGTGCTATGGCACACTGGGAAAATCTAATCTCTAGTATGCAAACACAGTGACCTAATTACAAAACCATCCCCAGACTATAAAGGAGTATCTGGACTTATCAAATATATGCAAATACGTGCACTGCTTTTTTTCCTTGCTGCAAAATAATCTTGCAAAGAAGCTCCAACCCAAAAAGCTCAGCAGGAAAACTAGAGAGTGCTTTAGGGTAGACTGCTGCAGAAAAACTTCCATGTCAGGCCATTTCAAAGCATTGTTGTCACTTAATTTCTGAAGAATCTTCTTCCACTGAGAAATCAGAGTGGAAATGCCAGGGGAGCCTGAGAAGCCTCCCAAGCTGTGTGTGCTTCTGCTTTAGAACAATTATCTTCAGGTGAATGAAATACTCTTAAACCTCACCTGCAGGTCTGTCAATGTATATACACTGTTGTACCAGTACCACACCAGTCTCACTTGACCACTGGCTGCTGGCATGCCAGTAGCAGGGTATGCCTGGCACGTTATGGGGCATTCAAATGGGATGCACTTCACCAAGAAAATTATAAAGAACTCAACACTTAATGGCTGTTGGCATCTCGATATGCTCGAAGCAATGTTTCCTCCTCTGAAATGTATGAAGTTAAAGCACACACTGCAGAGAAATGCTACTGGGATAGACTCAGTGGGGAACAAGGCAAGCATTTACTTGGCTTTCAGGGTCTCCCCATGTCCATGCCAGGCAGCCTCCTCGTCCAGCTGCAGCTCCCGCAGGACACGGCTGGGTTTGTAGGCGGCATTGATCAACAGAGTGAGAACCTAGAGCGCGAGGGAAGAGCAGAAAATACGGGTGAGTTATTTGTACAATTAATCTGTTTTAAAGTGCCAGAGTAGAATAGGAAATTACTCCTATTCATCCAAATTATCTAGCATCAAAGCACTCATTCACAGCAGGATTACAGATACCTCCTGATACTGCCAAAATGAACACTGAGAGCAGTCGACACTTCAGGCCTTGCCAACCTTCAGAATTTGTCTGCAGAGTCATGAGTGTATCTGGCAGTTTCCAAGTCATTGCCCTTGAATTACACAGCACTAAATTAACGCCTGGGGCTGAATAACTACAAAACTTGCATAACCTTGGCTAAATCTAAGTGATTATCTTAGAGATTGTATGTCATGTGAAGATGTGCCAAAAAATGCTGCAGGATTTTGGTGCCTGCCAACCCACCACTTACAACAAAATCATGCTGCAGAATCTTAAGCTCTCATCTGCTTTGCTTTCATGAACCGTGACATGACCTGTACTATAATAAAATGATGATTTCTCTGGTAATGTAAAATAACTTGAAGTTGTGAATAACCTGAAGTTAGGGGGGTATAGTACAAAACATGCGTTCAAACTGTATTTCTTACATGCAGTATGTGCTTCCTCCAAATCATTCCAAAATTGGGCGCATCAGAACCTTGACATTACAGACTTGCAGCTTCATTACTACTAATGCAGCAGTCCAGAAATTAAAAAAAATTAAATATAGTGCAAGTCCAAACTCTGTCTAGGATTCATACAGGGAGCACGACTCATAACTGAAATGAATGTACCTAAGCATAGTGGTCGAACTGTTTGCAACACTCAGCATCTGCACATCAGCAGGATTTGTGCACACTTTCTGCTTTCAGGCAATGAAGCAGATTAAACCTTCAAGGTTAAATGAAGCCACCACAGAATTTCACACTTGTTCTCCTGCAGTTCTTAATTCAGATTACTGAAACTCACAGAAAGGATAGGGTAATTTTCTGCATGCAAAACCAGACCTTTTTCAGTAATCAGCTTGACTCTTGACAACCACACTCTTGTTTTACAGCAAGTCTGATAAGATACTTGGTAGGGAAGGTAAAAATTCCCAAGACATTGAGCCAATTTCTACATTTAAAGTGATCACTTCATGAGAGCTCAAGTGTGCACATGTAGTTATGCCTTAGGAAATTTTCAGCCTCTCAGGTCAGATAATAAGCACCCCATGACCTTTTTGGAGATTTCAGAAAAATAATTATTGCATTAAAGTATCCGTAAATTTGATGTGAAACACCTTGTGGAGAAGAGGCTCTTTGGCATTAAAGAAAACCTCTTCCTCCCTCAATTACATTATAAAGCAAAACTACAATTTCACCTGATCTTTGCAAATTGTGTCCCACTTGCAAAACAGAGAGAATTCTTTTAATTTTCCAATTACGGGAAACAGTTTGCCATTTCTACTGAGAAAATCTGTATTTCCTCTGCTTTAACATCAACAGTGCAAACTGTAAAGGAATTTTGGGATTATCTCCAGCTAAATTCTGTTAATTAAATTTGAAGCATTTATTACAGCTATAAAGAGATACTGATTCCTTTGATTGTGGCAATTACAGGTTACACTGTTTTAACCTGAAGTAAAATTTAGCAGTAGAAGGCTGACTGTAACTCAGATAAATGAGAGGCTTTTACTCTTTCCAGCCATTCATAAAACCATTCACGATTTATACTTTACTACATGCAAAAAGACCCTCTTTAATAAATTCAAGCTGATAATCGGTAATTACCCATCTGTAATTAGAGACACTCAGCGTTGATGCCAGGCCCACTCTGTACAAGCACCTCACCTCTTTGAGTACAAGGACACAGTTCCCAGGTCCCACGGACTGGGGGAGCTCTGCAATCCTGCCCTTGTTCAGGTAAGGCCCCGAGAAGCACCGGTGGTTGAAGTAGATCTTTGGGCAGCAGTACTTGCCATTAATCACCACTGAGAAATGAGAAAGCAAAGATTTAAACCACGTGCTATAACCCCCCCCCTCCCAGGAAAGAAGCTTGTAAAACTATAGTAATAGTTTGTCTGCTGTGGAAAAGGAGGGGAGAAAGTCTTGAGTGACGTGAATTTGGGGTAGTTTCTGTGTCACGTTTGCAATGACAGCATTAGTTAGTCCATGTTGCCAAAATATTTTTCATACTTCACACCCATGCTTGCAAATTGTCAGACTATAGTAAATAAAGATGGTCATCCATCAGGAAAGAAACATTCCCTCCTGGCTAGTCTGATCCTTCATGGCATCACACCAGTGAGAACAGGAAAGACAAAGACAATCCCAACTTTTTGGTAACAGAAGCAGTTCCTACACAGCAATTACAGATAAATTTTCCAGTCAAGTAATTATCTCTCCCCCAAAACTTCTGTCACCAGAGAAGCTGGCAAAATTATTCTACACTGTTTATCCTAAATTGCAGTATAACACGTCTTTGCATATTTAGACTCTTTTCCCTCAATCAGCAAACAAAAGATGCAGCAACTGATGAAATGACCTTTGATAATGTGACACCAAGCATTCTAAACCCATTAAATGCTTTAATGTTTCTCAAAACTGAAGTGTAATACGTGTTGCAATACAGTTATGTGTAAAAACAATATTGTTTTCCCAACTGGTGTTGTAGTTTTCCTTGACTGATCAACACTATCACTTAAAGATCTTAAATTCAGTGGTTGAAAACTGGCAGATAAATAAATGAAGTCAAACTTACATTATGACTCTATTAAAAGCCAATTAAACTGCTAAACAAGCACACATCATTTCTGTCAACACTTGCTTTGGGTGAAGCTTCAGATGTGCACTTCACTGTACAGAAAACAGCAGAGGAGGCACTTTGGTGCCAAATGGATGGGTCTGTGTGACTGTTTCACCAGCAGATGTACTTATTCATCACATTCGTTCTTGCAACAGTTTAGAAAATTATTAGATTTCGCCATCTGGCACACAAAGCAGTTTACTGTTTGAATTGCTTTTGTTTATCATGATGATGAAGTTAACATAAAAAACAGACAGACCTGCTTCCCAAAGCCAGAATCCAACCACTCAAGAGCACAGATGTAGTGGGTCTGTTCCTCCCAACATTATTAAACATAGCAGGGGACAGTAAAAAGTCATCTGCACAGGTCACAGTACACACAGAGCTCCACGTATCCTCTGCTGGGGGAACAATGTTCTGGTGTAAAAATCTCCTTTCCAGGTTTAATGCACACATGAACTGCAGGACACAAGTAATTACATGGTTTTGTTTGTTTCATTCTTTTCTGAAGTTCACAAATCATTAAGGGATGAAAATCTTCACGCCCTTTCCTCCTCTTCCTTCTCCTAACAGTGTTGAGCAGGTGAACTGTTGGAGGATTTTGCCTTTGTTAGCCTGACCTCTGTGATCCGTACCTGAGTCAGAAGAGTTCAGTTCCTGGTTCTTTAGTCCATCATGAACTGTCCTTGAAGACAAAATTCTGAAATGAAAAGAAGTAGTTTGGGAAAAGGGACAGATGGTAAGGACAGTCACCACTCACATAGTTACTAAAATACAATTTCATTTTTTTTCCTGAGCTCTGGCTTTATTAATCTGCTTTTTATACCTCCCCTGTTTCACAATAATAACACACAAACCCTCCCAAATTCAATCTGGAAAGGATTTGTGCACTGCTCCAGCCAGCAGCAATCCTTCCTTGCTTGAAGTCTATGGGCTACCATGGTGAAAAACACCACCAAAGCCACCCCCAGCAGTTTACATCTCCTGCCATATCTTAACTTCCCATTCAATGGCACAAACTAGTGTGGTCTTACCTTATACATTTCGAAAAAGTTGGATTTTAAACAAAATACAACCAAAATTTGAAACAAAACACAACTCAAGTATTCTGGTAAGGATCCCAACAACAAAACATGGAAGAACAGTCAGCTCAGGATTTTAGGAGCACTGAAAACACTGGCAGCAGCACTGACAGCTCTGCTGTTTGTAAGGCTGTAGGAGCCAATAAAGCCAACTGGGAGGTATTTGTGGAGCATTTCTGAGCAGGCTCACAGGAAAGAGTTTCATATGCATGACACAGAGTTTGTAGATGAATTGTAGATATTAGTAGAACTCTCCCTTTTGGCTTGTCTGGGCCAAATTTAATCTGGGAAGGAGCAATCAGAAGTTCGTCTAATAAATGACAGCACTCACACTAAAGTGAATTTTTCTGATCAGTTGTGCAAAAGCAGTTACATGTTAAGGCATTTTTTAAGCATGTTTACATTACAGAAATTGTATTATTTCAGAGGGGAATATAACCAAAAGGAAATACAGTAATTTTTCCTACTACTCACCATTAAAAAGAGGCTCAAGTACAAATTTACAGTCTTAAGATCAGAGCAGTTTTTCTTAAATGCACAATACAATCTTCTAAAAGTGAAAGACCAACAACTTCAACCTCAGAACTTCAGTGGCTTAACCTGTTCAATAATTCAGCTCAGTTGCAATAGCATTGTTAAAAAAACAAATTCCAAGCTTTCTATCTCCTCCTGCTGTAATGCAAGAGGTCTTTCTGAACATCAACAGAAACTACCAGCGTTAAGACAAATGGATTGCAGAATCTTTCAACCCTCAGTAGAGCACTTCTGTAAAGCTAAATCTTCCCTAACACAGCATGATTTTCCAATTAGAAAAAGAGGAAAAAACCCAAACCAAACTCCAACAAGAAATAAAAGCAAAAACCCGTTACTTACTGTTTTTCTGGTTGAACTACTGCAATTTTTTTCTGCTTGTTTACTGAAAGGAAGAAAAAAAACATAAACAGCAAAATATGAGAGGCAAACAAAAACGTCTAGTACAAAAAATAGCGAACTCTTTTCTCCTAAGTTACACACCAAAGAGAATCCATGTTCCAAGTCATCAGCAGTGTCAGACAGTTGACCCACCTGCACTACAGTAACTGGCCTAAGTAATTTGACAGAAGGTTTACTTCAACTTTCACTAACAATTCATTAAATCAGGCATGATATCCCCAGCCTTCCAGGAAATCTTACTTTTTATGCATCTTTTGTTTGTACCATAGCCCCTAAACTACCTGTAATACCTGCCAAAAATGAATTATATGCTTTCCTTTTCAGCACCCAAAGGTCAGGATGTTTGGCATAACTTCCCACTTTACTGGCACAGCAACTTCAACACTGTTTAACTTTGAAATGGAATGAAAGCAGCAGGTTAGAAACACAGATGACTTAAGCCAGTTGCTATGGAGGAAAACACTTTCAACTAAGTCAGTCATTAGGGTGATGGGTCCACTTGCTAATTCTGGCTTTCATAATCAGGTAATAACATCAAACAAGGCAATGCAACATATGCCTCTTCAAGCTTTGTCCCCAAAAAACTTCTGGATTTTTTTAAGTATTTTTCTTCCCTAATTAGGATCCCCCCCCTACTCCCTCCTGTCCTTGGCAATACAGGTAGATTAGTTTCTCTTGCTTTTACTTGCAAATAAAGTAAATGACAGCTCACTCCAATCTTAAAATTTTCTTATCTTGCTCAATGAACACGGAGGAAACTCTTCAGTTTCTCCAACTCCCACTAAACTTTAATAAACAGAGCTCACGAACCAGCTGAGAGAAGACACTGCCTTATGCTACTCAGTCATGTGGTTAAAACAGGGAGGATTTACTTTTCAGCACTCTGTCATTAAGGGATAATTACCCCCGGGCCGTTTAGAAAGCCAGTGTCCCTTATTTAGACTCCAGAGTGTGTACACACTCACACGGGTTTGTTATGGCATTCATTTTACTTGAACAAGTGCAAGTGCAGAGTCATTATCAGGGTCAGACACACTTCAAGAACAGCTCAGACAGAAGGAAATGCAGAGCATGTGGGTTTGTGTGTGTGTGTGCACACAACACATAAAATTTCTTTGTTCCCTCAGGCTTGTACAGCATCCAAGGGTCTGAAGCCAACACTGCTGTTCTGCAGTTGTTGTGTGGCTTCCAACTGTACCCAAGGGCCAGGGGAACACTCGTGCAAGGCACAGATTCTCTGTGCATGGTGAAGGTTTCCAAAGGCAGTGATGCCAGCAGGAATTCTGCAGTAGCCTGCTCTGGAAGGTCTGAGCACCTCTATCCCCCAGGTAAGCACTGCAGACAGAGCAGAGCTGGTACCTATTGCTTTGCGAGGAGGCCTGAGCTGATATCCATTCGTCTCACACCAACCCACTGGAAATATATTCATTGATTCCACACTCACTATGCAGTCAGGGACGGGTTTCTTGGAACCTGTTTAGTTTAGAAAAGGAAAAATTGAAACAAGTAATAAAAAACCCAATTTGGTTAACGCTTGTTAAATGTTTGCTAGTGAAGCCACTTTTATGTATGGCATATCTGGAACACAATATCAATCATTTATTCATCCCCTTTTACTGACCAGGTTCTTTCCTGCCCTCATTTACTTCCTCCTGAAGGCTGGAGATGGGAATTTGCCATCCACAGTTTAGCAGAGATGCACAGTGCACAGTAAGTGCATGCTGATGTACTTCCAATCAAGAAATGGGATTATAAAGGAGAACAGACAGGGGCCTACTCTATTTTAATGGGGAACCTCTGTAAGGTTTGTTCCTAGATCTGGTCAAAGCTTGCTTAGAATGCGAGTCACTGGTTTGTAAAACTGTTCCAAGGCCCTTGCTCTCTACAAGACCCCAATCAGCACTGCCACCGCAATGCACAAATGCCATTTTTGGCTTAAATAAGCAGTGCCAGCCAAGGCAAAGTGGAAACACACAATGCAAGTGGGGTTTGCTGTGTTTTCACTGAGGAAACTGTAACTTGGTCCCACACTCTGCACACAGTGAGTATGCTCCAGATACACCTCAGATGTGATGGTGGCAGTACAGAAGAACCAATGCAAGTGCTACTTTCTCTTCCCACGTCAGGCTTACCCTCCAGCTGAAGCCAGAGATAGGAATCTTTCAACTTGGTGACTGTAGCAATGCAAACTTCTTCAGGATCAACTGGGTTCACAGCCTCGAGTTTCATATTCTCTTTAAAGCCATGGTCAGAAGTTAACTAGGAGAAAGCCAGAGGACTTCAGTAAGATACCAGCTGTGTGTGTGTGATGTGAACAGCCATGAACAGGAGCAACACAAAAACCTCAGTGCTGAAGAACACAGAAAGATACTCAGGCAGACAGGGAAGATTTCAGATAATTAGCACATTGAATACAGGATACATTATGAACTATGAAAAATGTAAGTTAAAAAAACCTCTACAGACAGACTTAGAAAAGAACATATTTGTTCTCAAAAAATAAGGATGCTGAGTCTCACTGAAAGGATTGAGTGCATTCTCAGCAATCAGGAATTCTGTGTTGCTTGCTACCCAAGTGATAAGTCTGACAAATAGTCTGACCAGGTTCCCTATTCCATCGTGTTAGCTTGGAAATCCTTTATGTATGCAAATAACATTCCTGCCTCATCCAAATGAGTTCTGGCACACAGCATAGGAAGCTTTCTTTTCATTTGAGATTTTTTGGATAAGTAGGATCTTACTTTATTCACCAATTTAGCTCACATTTATTTTAAAAAAAAATCCCCAAAACGTTGGAATGGATGTTTATCCGGCTCTGAAGTTCCTGCATTAAAGATAAGAAGTAGCAGCCAGACAGAGGACTCTTCCTCCCAGAGCCACTCTGCAACATAATTACAGGATCAATACATTATGAATTCTGGAACTAGCCTGCAGTGATCAACTCTTCTCAGAAAGGGATAATAAATTCAGTGACCTGTTCTAAGATGCCACAGCTTACAAGACAGAACAAGGGCAACACGAATTCATAGCCAGCAACACCCTCTTCAAAAAATGGTAATTATTCATTTTAATTTCTCCCCTAAGCACTGCAATAGCCCAAGTATTGTAAATGGAACTGGAAGGCAGGTGTTAATAGAACCCTTTTCTGCTTGACAAGGTATTGTGCTTTGGGAGACAGCAATACTGTCATTGAACCAACAAAAGCCCAAAATGTTGCAAGTCCTTCAGGCACTGATTAATGTAAAATGATTATCTGGTACTAATTTAAGACGACTTGGTATTGATCAATACAATGGAATTAATTTTTCAAGCTGAAAGGATGGAAGATTGAAAGAGCACACCAAATAAATGAAAATAAAGTCTATTGAAAGGCCCTGTTTCCACAATTACAGGAGTGCCAACGACTGATGCTGTTCTACGACTCTTCCACGGGCTCTTACACACCTCAATTTCACAAAACAAACATTTATTTTCAATCTGCACTATCACAACTGAAACATTTGGTGCACTGCTTCCTTATGTAGGAAACTGGCATGCACCTTCACAAACATTTAGACTCTCTTATCTCTTCTGTTTCCTGAGCTATCCCAGGTAAGGTGTTTAGGCACTCAAACGTGTCCAGAGGAAGGCAACAAAGCTGGTGAAAGGGCTGATGGAATGTCCTGTGAGGAGCAGCTCAGGACTCTGGGTTTGTCCAATTTGGAGGAGAGGAGGCTGAGGGGTGACCTCACTGCTCCCTGCAGCTTCCAGAGGAGGGGAAGAGGAGAGGGACGTGCTGATCTCCAGTGACAGGACATGTGGGAATGGGTCCAAGCTGCGTCAGGGGAGGTTCAGACTTGACATCAGGCAGCATTTCTTTACTGAGAGGGTGATCAAACACTGGAACAGGCTTTCCACAGGTTCATACTCCCTCCCTGCCAGTGTTTAAGAGACATTTGGACAATGCCCTTAACAACACGTTTTAACTTCTGGTCAGCCCTGAAGAGGGTCAGGCTGTTGGACTGGATGGTCACTGTAGGGCCCTTTCAACTGAAATAGCCTATTCTACTTGGAAAGGCAATTTAACTAAAAAAATGGGAAAGTCTCTTCTCCCTGGAATCAAGAGTGTCATTCACATAACAGAAGAGACTCTGCTGGAGGACTCTCTTACCGAGGGGAAGCAGCTCTGGGGAGCGGCCTCAGCACCGCACTGTTTGAGGTAGTCTGCCCAGTCGAAGTCCTGCCCGGGGTAACCTAGGAGAAGGAAAAGCCAATGGGTTAGAGTTGAACAGCCTGAGACTCCATTCAAACCGACATGAAGCACAGAGCACTGAGATCTGCTCGGGTCACTCAGCTTTGCCAGTTGACTGCAGCTTCCTCAGCCACCTGAGGGCAGCCACAGCCCCCTGAATCCTGATTAAAGTATCTCTGCTAAGCAGACAAGGGCAGCAATTCAAACACAGGGAAGCACTCCCACCCTTTTCACAGGGTGCAGATGAAATTCAGGAAAGATTTCTGTAACTGATGTTGTGTCAGCTCTGAAACTTTATTTTTTTTAAATAGAGCAGTCAAAATGTGCACAATATCAACATACTACTCTCTCAAAGACGTGCTAAACACTAAGTCATTAAAGAGAGCAGTCAGATGTGCCAAGAGGCTCATCAAGTTTGCCAAGAGCTGTAGATCTGCATTTATGTTTGAAGGGAAGACTCTTAATAAGGAGGCCATCAGGAGACACAGTATCCTTCCAAGAAAAATTATCCTCTTCTTGGGGGAAATACTTGGCTCCCCTGTGATCTAAAAAAAGCAAATAACTGAAGGGAAGAGGGTGCAGAAGTGTGCTGCCATGTCACTTTGAGGCTGGCAGTAAATCAGCAAGGACACAAGTGCTGCAGCTATTCCACTCCCCTAAAAGGGACATCTGTGGCAATGGTTTAAGCAATCAAACAAAATCTTCAACCCAGCCTAAGAATATAGTATTAACATGACAAACTAAACACACAAAGTTCAACCGTGCCATGTCTACACATATTTTAAATATGTGGGATGGTGACTCAACCACTGCCTTGGGCAGCCTGTTCCAATCTGTGATAACCATTTCTGTGAAGAAGTTTTCTCTAATATCCAACCTCAAGCTCCCCTGACACAACTTGAGGCCATTTCTTCTCATCCTGTCACTTGTTACCTGGGAAAAGAGACCGACCCCCAGCTGGCTACAACATCTTCTTATAGGTCATTGTAGAGAGCAAGAAGGTCCCTCCTGAGCCTCCTTTTCTCCAGGCTGAGCTCTCTCAGCCACTCCTTGCAGGACCTGTGCTCCAGACCCTTCCCCAGCTCTGTTCCCTTTTCTGGACACACTCCAGCTCCTCAATGTCTTCCTTGTAGTGAGGCCCAAAACTGAACACAGAATTTGAGGTGTGGCCTCATCAGTCCAACCTAAATTATTCTTTGACTTTTACCCCCTCAGAGAGGGCCAAACCACAGAAGGATCTATTTATTTTTCTCAGTTTTATCAGTGCCAGGAGGGCTCTTGAGACCTGACCTCACACAATTCAGAACACCCACCATGTGCAAGGGGACTACGAGAACAGGAACTTAAAATCTTCGTCAGCTCCAGTCACATGCCCACAAAGTGAGATTTCATTTTGCACATGCAAAATTCCAGGTAACGCTGGTAAAGCAAAGCCACTTTTTGTATTTTTAACTATCTGAAAGGCAGGAGACAAACATCTTATGGTCTTTGCTCCTCTGATGTAAGGAGCAACTAAACCAAAACATTCTGAATGCTGAGATGGTGAATCAGAGAACTGACTCCCTGGTTTTACAATACCATTGACATTTCCACTTTGAGAAAATGAATAAATATTTCAGTAGCTGAGGAACACTCCCCTATTCCCTTATGTCCTGAAGCAATGCTTCAGCAATCTGCTACAGTGCCTGATAGGTCCTTGATAAAAAAATAGTTCATTAGCTTCTGAGTGACAAGACATCCTAAAAATATTATAAAACGTTGGATAACAATGTTCCATTCTGACCAGAAGCAAAAACCCAATGCAAAGACCATAGGCTCCTGATATCATGCTAATTAAGGCTGAAATCAACATTTCTTCCAGCCCTGCAACACACACACCATTCATTCCAGTGTTCAGGTTTTTATGCACAACCAGCATTCCCCAGCCTCTCTCATCCTCCCAAATCCAGGCTCATACCCAGGAAGCTTCAGTTTCACAGAATCTGATCCTTCTTGTTCTTTGCTTGTGCACAAGTGCTGTCCTAAACAGAGCAGTGGGGACTGGGGACCTGCTCCCCTGGGAGAGGGGTGGGCACCACAGGGCTGCCCTGACATACCTGGGGGGGGACTGAGGTTCAGGCCGTTCTTCAGACTCCACTGCACAGGGAAAATCCCGGCACTGTTGACATGACAGATGTAAGACCGGCTGGTGGGACGGTCTGCTCTCAGGTCATCAATTTCTATCATGAAATATTTGTCATTGAACACCTGTAGTCAGGCAAAAGAGAACCACAGGGTCTGGTGAGTAGTAGGTTCTCATCTACTGCTCCCTCTCGCTCATTTTGTTAACTTTAGTAAAACAGCAACACTGTATGATAGAAACCCTTCATCTTGAAATACTGTGAGGATTAAAAAAAATAAAGGAGAATCTATGGGATTTATCAACCAGTGGATTCCTCTGCATCATCCAGAAAGTTAACAAATATAAATAATAAAAGTTAAGGTATAAGCACTTAAAAAATAAGGTGATCAAGTGCTACATGAAATTTTCTCATGAAAAATGCAGAGGAATTAGTGTTTGTGGTCTTCCCACTATTCTATAACAACAAACTGCTTATTTCAACAACGCTGTGTCCTGGGATGGACTGTCACAAGTAAACCCACTTCACTGCTGAAGTAAATAGAAGTAGGGCAAGCAAATAGCAAGAAAAGCAAAACCTGATTATGTTGGGAGAGTTTTCATTTCAACTTTTAAATCTGGTCACCTAAATGTCATGTGTACATAGTGATGACAAAATGTCATATGCACTTAGCAATGACACAACGTCTGCACAAAAAAACCCCACCGCCAAAAATCTATCTTCAACTGGATATTCAGATTATAAGAGATTACATCAATTTTAACAACCTGGGTTTGACAGTTCTAGTAATTTGATCTTTTAAGCTTGTATCTTTATGGAACTTTTCCCCTCTATTCAAATGCAATGGCTTCACCATCAGCAGTTAAGATGCTTTCTCATGGCAGCCTGTCCCCTGAGGGAGTCATACAAAATACTTCATTTGGAAACTAGCTCAAGATTTTAAGATAATCAGTTAATGAGAATTCCCTGAGCATTTAAGAACAGAAGTTGCAGTAGAATTGAATCTTCGTAGGACTCGTTTAAAACCACTGGTACCTTAAGAACTGTAGCAGGAGAGATTACAAAAGGAGCCATTGGATCCACGGCTTCCAACTTCATGCCTTCAGAGAATGAATGCACTCCAATCACAGGTTTATCCTGGAAAATGAGGTGTCAGTGGGATTACCTGCCTTTCTCCATCAAAAGAGAGACGCACCTTACATAAATCAGCTGAAGAGGATGACTTAAATTTTTATTGGCTCAGTCTAAGAGATCAACCTGTTGAAATAACAACAACTTCCCCTGGTGAAAAGGCCACCAATGCCCTCTGAGACTGACAGTCTTCAGTGAGTTTTAGGAAATTGAGTTCCTGCCATTTCCTCCTCTGACATTCTCCACACAGAAACCAGATTTGACAATACAGGGTGGTCTGGTAAGTCAATGGAAATGTTCTGGGGTTTGTTCCCCTAACTTTTAGCACTCCTCTAACCACTCATGAGCTACATTAAATGAGAACTACACAGCCTCAGTTTGCAGTCTAACAAAAACCTACAGAGCAGGACTCCTGCTCCAGAATTATGTATGTCCTACTCTGTATATGACCCAACACATTCAAGAGCAACAGCACCTCCTCTTCTGCTTATGGGTCCAAACAAAGCTGAGAAAAATGAACTAAGAATGTGAAGAACTAAGTTGACATTCCTACTTCTCAAAAAATGTTAAGATTTCTTTTTTTAATGATTATAAACAATTTGAGAGATTTTTGTAATCCAGCAATCTGTAGCGTCCTCCAGAAGGACACTAATCTGCAAGACCAAAGTGGGCAAACAACTGGAGATGCCATTATAAAGAATTTTGATGGGTGCACCAACTTACCAAGAATTGCTAACAGTATCATTATTTTTATTATACTTACATCTTTAAACTAGAAGAAGAAAGGAAATAAATTTTAAAAAACAACAAAAGAGGGAAAGGATTTTAAGTAAGTGACTGACTTCCCTGAATCATTTCTTAGGAATATAATATTTTCATGGTATCATCCACAGCATCAAACTACCTTAAAAAGATCTGTAGGGACGGATGACTCCTCCTCCTCCTCTTTCACCTTCTTCAGGATCTCTTGCCAATCTGCTTCACTCCTCAAGGACCTAATGGCTAGAGGAAAAAGAGAGGGAAAAAATGAATAAAGTCTCTGTCCTTCCTCTTTTCCTTCAGAACTCAGAGCAATAAAGCCAAAAGTTTGATCTGTGCTTCTCTAACTGCTAAATTCTTATCTGTTCAGAATCTGAGCAAATGCCTTTCTCCTCAAAAATGTACTCTTTTCTTCAACATTTGCCTTTTTATGGAAAGGGACTGAACAAGCAACACTCTATCACCCATACCCTGCCAAGCCTGCTTTTTCTGAGAGAACAGGGATCACAGCAACACCAAGGAAAACTTCTGGAGAAACATAGGACCAGAAAACAAATCCCCAGCTGGGTAACGCTGGCCGCTTTTACGCTTAAGCAAGCAGAAAGTTCAAGAAGTGTTCCACGAGCCTGTTCCAGCTGTTTGAGTTACTCCTTTAGCATCTGCAAATGCAGACCACACACCTCTGACAGAGGAGAAACTACTCACAGCAGTGCCATCATGCACAAAAGATCCCTGGGAGTGTGTCAAAGCTCTTACACAGACACAAAAAGGAAACAAATCCAGGAGCTAACTAATGTTTTTAAAAGACACCAATCACTTAAATAGTGCTGTGGAATCCACCCATCTGGTGTTTGGCAGTGATTTGGCATCCCCCTGTTCACAATCCTGATTTCAGCAGAGATTGGTCAAGCCCTACTAAAAGCAGATGCTCAGTCATTTCAACAGAATTGCTTTGGTTTCCTTAGCAGGATTTCTTCTTGCTGTGAGGGGAAAACATTAAAAAAAACCCACCAAACCCACAACAAAAACAACTGTTCTAAACAATGTGAACTTTTTCAACTAATAGCACTGAGTGTGCCAGAACCTTAGATGTACACCTGCAGAAAGGCTTTAGGGTAATGCTCAACATTTTCCAGCTTTATCCCAAGGTCTCCCTTCACCAGGAAACACATTACATCAGTGCTCAGCTTGTAAGTCAACCACGTGTGTTTCTGCCAATTTATAACCCAGTCCTTTGAGGACCTGCCCTGGCGTGAAAAATACAGCCACAAAATGTCCCACCCTCTGCCTCAGTTTCCACACACTTGTTCCTTTTTTTAAGGGACATTTTCATATCATTTAAACAGTGTCTAAATTAATCCAGTGAACTTGAGGGTCACAACTGCAAAAGCTCCTGCTGAGCAGTACTTCAAAACCATATGACTTTCTCACCCCTCAGGAATACAAACCTAATCAAAATAACAGTGAAGGCAATCCCTTCCTCAGTTCCATCCTTTCCACAGACAGGTGGAAAGTTTTGACAGGCAAAAGCCATTTAGCAACTTCTGAATGAGTGGGTGAAAAGCCTTGCAGAACAATTTTTTTTTTCCACTTACCTTTTATTAGGTACAACACTTGTCAAATCTCAGAGTGATTATGTGACCACCATGTGCACCCAGAGGGCAGATTCAGAGCACTAAAGCAGCAGCAGTGCTCTCCACCCTCTGATCATCAAATATAATATGCTAATATATAAAAACATAGATGCTTTGAAGTACCTAGAGGTGGTTGCAGGCTATATCCATGCTGGGCTGCCCAACCCACTTGGTGAAGGAAGGGGTCCAAGTAGAACAGCCACTGGTCAAATTTGTCAGAATCCTCCAGCCCTTCATATCTCAACTTCAGTCTCCCCCCAACATTTTCGACCACGGTGACTATCCAGGCTTCCAGGGAATCCCGGATGTTTTGCAGTTCCAGTCGGGAGCCTGGTGCAATGAGATCCAATGGATTTTTCCCTCTGTGAAGCTACAAAAAGACTACAATTATTCTGTACAACAGAACAAAATGAAGCCCAGACTTCCACCTCTTTACACACTTTTTTTTTTTTTGCATAAATAAAGTATGAATACAGAAGTAAAGAAATACACATCCCTCACTAAAGTGAGACAGAAATGAGAATGTTCAGAATCACTGCTGTTTGCATCAGAGCTTCCTCACTGCCTGTAGATACAGTCACACATTTCACTTACATCCTCACCATCATTTTCAGAGGCATTATCACTTATATATTCAAGGTTTGAAGGAAACATGAATAACCTCTTTGTAAAACTGAGTCATCCAGCATACAAAGATGACTAGACAGAAACACAGCAAGACAGAAATGTTAGCTGTAATGAAGATGTCAGTGGCATTTTCAAGAAACCATTACGTTCTGCACTTTACAACCATGAGGAGCAAATATTGTTTAAAGTGCAGAGGAGGGGATAAAATTTGATTCTTCACTAGCAAAGATGCAATATTTAAGTAAAACAATAACCTGCCCATTAGTAAAAATCCCAAAAAAACCAAAACAATCCAAAGTGAAAGGAGTCAACTAAGAAAGGGGACAACATGGAGGAGCAGAATTGGAGGAAGACTGAAACCTAAGAGAGTTGAAGAAGATCTTTCTTTTGATAGGATTAAGGAAGAGCCCAAACCTGCAGCAACAGATATGGTTCAGGACAACACTATCAAAAATAAATAGTCTAAATAGGAAACATTAGAGAGTGGAACGCTACGGTCAGCAGCATATTACAGTGCTCCCTAAACTTAAACAGGGAATTGAACTGACAATCCAAACAGTGATTCCTCTAATGAAGAAGGGGAAGGCCAAGACAAAGCCCCAGATGCAGCACATTGCAGGACTCACCCCCTCGAGCAGGTTGGCAGGAGCACTGCACGCTCCCTTCAGCACCCGCTGAAGGAACTCCTCCTGGTCAGGTATCTTGTCCTTGATACCTAAGTGAGAAGGGAAGAAAAAAAAGACTGTGATTCTTCCTGTCAGAAAAAGATTATTCAGACATGAGATGTTACCACACCCTTGTGCTGCCTAATTCAGAAGAATCTGCCATGCACCAGTAACATCTTGAAACAACAACAACATTTTTAAAGGAAATGGCAAAGCAGTAGATTTTGGTGGGTGACAATTAAGATAATCACAAGCCTCTGTAAGAATTAGTTCTGAAAGTTCTGAAATTAACCTAACTCCTCTCTGGTGAAGGAGCAATCTCCTGATGTAAGCCATGGGATGTCAGGAAAACACGGCAGATAACCTCAGCTTGTCCCCACAGCAACACCACCCACATACACCACAGCCCTGCAGGTTGCCTGCCGGGCTGACACAGGACAACAGCACACTTCTGTATGTACCCCCCCTTCTGCACATAGAGCTGATACCTTCAGGCACTTTGAGAATCTTTTTGTTCTGCTCACACCAGCCGATGGGGTGCAGATCAGCTGTCATGATGTCGCACCAGAAGTCAGCCTTGCGGTCCTCCCCGTACCCATCGTAGCGCAGCAGGAGCAGCTGCCCACAGGTAGTGATGATGGTGGCTACCCAGTAGGTGTTCTGGTCAGACTTGACAGCGACTTCCAGCTTCATTCCAGGGGCAAAACCGTTCTGCAAACTTGTATCCACCTGAAGAGGAAGATCATCACATGTGAGCACCTGCCAGAAACTTTGCTGAACACCAAGGGGAACAGTTTAGGAATGTTCATTAGCAAAAAATCTCAAGCCAAACACCTCATGAAATCTTCTTTGTATTACAGAGTATCTTTTCAACCTTAAATCAGTACTTTGCCATTCACGTTCGTGCCCTGAACAATACCTCCCTCATCCCTGAAAGCCTTTCCTGCTCACAGCTGGGCTGTCAAGCTCAGCAAAACTAAAAGCCCAACTCAGGATCATGACTTTCACTTGTTATGTTAAACTGTGTCTTTCAAGGTCTTTGGACAAAGAGCCTGTTTAAAGTACCTACTCGTGTTTTAGGTAACCATATCACCATCTCTTCCACCAAGCTCCTCTAAGAACTCACAAACTGCAGAGTAAGGATTTTGAATGTCTCTATCCAAGAGCCTAAATCTGTAGGTAGCATTGCTCCATAAATTGCATGGAACATAATCAGTGTGTGTTCTTGAGTTAACTCATGCTTTGACACAGTAAAGCACCAAATGCTGTGAGTGCTCTGTGTGTACATGGATGTGCTGTGTGCAGGTGAGGAATCTGACTGCAGTCCTGATGCTGAAATGTGACTTAAAAAGAGAAGGCAAAACATTATTAAGTCTCTCATATCCCTGCCTTCTCTTAGCTGAAATGATCCTGAAAGAGCAGAAAGAGCCTCTTCTGCTCTCACTGTAGTATGTTTGATCTATGCTTAATTCCAGGGCCTCAGTCCTAATTAAAACTCTGACATATCAATCCCCTCTTCTCAACTGACTGTAACTGATGTTTTCTTTCTTAAGTGGTCCCAAGTTCCATTTCCTCTTTGAATCAACTGCAAGAAAGGATGCAGATGGAGCAGACACTTTCTGGGGTATTTATTCCCAGTTCTGCACTGACAGTTCAGTAACTGCCATAGCTATTACAGTCTCATCAGCCAGCATACACTGGTTTGCTACAAATAAAACTAAGAGAAACATCAGAAAGAAAAGCATATGCCTCTGTTAACTGTTCACATCCTTCAGGTTGATACCCTTCACTTAGAGAAGCCTCTTCTTGAAAACATAATCAGCAGGTTCCAATACCTGCAGGTGTCTTGAAGTGGTATTATGGAGGGTGACTTATAAAAAAGACAGTTGTCTTGCTGAAGACACATTCCCAAAGACTTTGTATTCTGGTTCCCCAGGGAAAAGCTGTGAGCTCGACACAGAGTCTGAGGAATTGGGCAATCTGTGCAGCTCTCTCTACCCGACCTTTCAGCAAAGCCTCCCGGCAGAGAGCGCAGCAATCAGCGAACCCAGAGCAGCAGCAGGAGCTTTCCCTGCAGCCAGGTGCGTTTTCCTCAGGCCGGCAGGGACGTTCCCGGGGCACAGAGCGCACACGGAGCAGCTGTTCGCGCCCTCTCCTGGACACCGCGGAGCAGCTCAAAGCACAACACTTGGCGTCTCCAGGCGGGCTAAGGGAGCAGGGCAGGCTGGGAACCTCCAGAGGGTTTTCTTTGGAGCAGTGGGGCTGAGAGGGCAGGCTGAGATGGCCAGGAGCCGTCAGGGACTGCACTGCCCGGGCAGCTCCCACCACTCCATCCCAGAAGGTCCCATCCCCACATCTGTGCCACGGCACAGGTCAGACCTGGGGGTCCAGCTCAGCTCAGGAGAGAGTGACAAAGAGTAGACACAAAGTACTAAGAGCAAGCAAGACCACACAGCAAATAAATGTGTTGAGACGATGCTGAACACCAGGTTATTTTTAATACATGTTTACACGTGTATAGAAGTAGCAGAGAGGAATTTTAAAAAAGCATTCAACAGTTCTAGACAAAGTGTAGATTTAGGGGGATGACAACATTGGCTTCCAGTGCAGCTCTAGGTTTTTTCTAAGTTCTTTCTTCTGCTACACTGTACATAAAACAGTCACTTTGATCTCAATATTGTTCAATTTTTATAATGTTAACAAATTAAACATTAGAACATGCTTAATTTGAGAAGTAGCTTACATTTTCCTATGTGTCTTGTTTATAGCAAGGCAAAACTCTGAGAATTAATATAAGCAAAATATAAAAGGTCTTCTCTCTCATCTAGCTTTGCTAACACTAGCTATGTAACAATAGATTCAATTTTTTTAACCTGAACATGTACTCTCCTACAACCCAGGTTAGGTATTTCTCACTTGCTACTCATAATGTTTCAGTATTTAAAAAGAACCAAACAAAAACTTTAAGCTTCCATCTAAAATATATTTATATTAATTAATTAATTTTTATACACATTCATTTGCTCTTGTGCCAAGACTATTCTTCAGCTTAGATTTTTCCCCTCTGCTTTTTTGAGAGTACAAAAGTAGTTCCTTCTCAGCTCTCCTGACAGTGAATCATAAAATGTGTCATTCTTGAAGTCAAGCAACTCACACTACAGATTTCAACTGGAGGGACCACCAGTCACTGGCACAGACACATCAGTGCCTGTATGCTCTCCACTGGAAATCACTCCTCTAATGCATCCTGCAATCACACTAACCTTTCCTTAGGGCTTCGTCACACAGACAGGCTGTCACTCTCCACTGGGAGGCAGTGAGACTCTCCTCTACCTTTTCCAATGCCTTTCCTTCTAATGGACAGCAGGAACCCCGAGGATGTGACCCTGCACTCCTGCATTTCTATTAACAGCCAGATCCAGGTGATGTGACGCTGATGTAAGTACGTTCCTCTCTCTGATTGTCAGTTCAGCGTCAGCCTTGACTCCTCAAAATTTTATGCCAAGCTTATTGTAGAGAACATCAACACTGGTCTCTGGACAAATTCTGCTAACAAATGCCTGATAGTTCTGTTTCTGAACATGCAGGAAACTATTTCCACGCTCACTGATGACCCCTTGCAGCAGTCCTGGTCCCCCAAGCCCCCAGGACAGAGGGACAGGGCTGGGCAAAGGGCTGGGCTTTGCCCACACCTGCTCACTAAACCCCTCTCCACCACAATGTTACCTGCACCAGCAAAACTGCACTGTGCTCCTCACACATAGGGATTAACAACAATTAAAAATGGGGATTTTTTAAAGCTATTTGTATTCTTACCAAGCATGGCCACAGCCAGCACACCTGTGACTCCACACAGCTGGGTTGGCACAGGGCTTGCGAGTCTTTCAAAGTGCATCTCTTGCTAATTAACAAAATGCAGCTACAACGTTGATTCAGTTGGCCACCACTGTAAGCTGGCATTACAGTTAGCTGCATCATGCCCAAGCTATGACAGCAGGCTTCCCTAACAGAGCTCCTGTAAGGCAAACCACACCAGAGGACAGACCACTCCTCACACTGCTGCAAAATGCCCTCGCTCTGGGTTCCATTCTGGCCCTCAGCGTGGGCTGCACGGACACCACCACTGAGCAAGCTCTCTTGTACAGTCTCAGTACACCAAGGAAGAACCAAGCAAGCAGAGGCCCCTTCCCGTCAGAAATGAGATACCTGAATGTTTATTTTGGAAAAAAAAAAAAAAAACCACAACAAAAAGCTTACAATTACATCCCAGTCTATGGAAGAGCTTCTGTGAAGTCTGTGCTTATTCTCCATCTTCACTACTAACACAACTGCCATTTTTCAACAGATTCTTTAATGTTTTGCACTTCTTAAGGTCACCTGTGGATTCTTGTGATCCTTCATGAACAGACCTCAGTCCACTTTCCTGCTGATTTAAGTTTCCAATACAGAAAGTCATGATACTGGATCCAAAGCCTGAGCACTATGGGATGCTTTCCAAGCAATGTGTCACACACATCACTGACATGGTAAAAGACCTATAGGCAGTCTTTGAAAGACTATTAAACAGTAACTTTAGTAAAGGGCTGGATAAGGATACAGGCTGGCAGTCTGGAAGGTGTTCTAATTGTTGGAAGAGAACCAGCAGGTTTGGACACCAGCTCTATACAGCTCACCTTCACTGATGACCCAGTACCAGCAAGCAGATTTGGCATTCAGATCTCACCCAATGGGACAGGGCACTCCAGGATTTTACCAACAAACATTTGATTAAAGATGTCTAAGGGCAAAGACAAGGGCTTATCAAGACCTCATCCTATCCATTAAGCCTCTGATCAACAATTATCCTAATCAGTTTTATAACTACTACAGCCAAGCATTTGGCAGAGCTATTATTTTCTCCTTGAGATCCACCATTAAAGACTTCTTCGAGAGCACATTTGAATTCTGCTGTTCAAGAACTTTCTGCAACCAGCTTTTCTACAGCAAGTCCTCCATAGGAGTTGTCCAGTAGCACCAAAAGAAGAAAGAGACTGACTATCCTGAGCTTCTTGAGAAAAATCAAGCTTATCCTCTGGTGCAGAAAAGACCAGGAGCTCCTGAACTTTCAGCACTTGTGGATGGGGTTACTCTGTACTACATACAGAGAGGAAGATGAGAAACAATAATAAAAAGGTTGAATTCCTCATTTCTCTTTACTCTAAGAATGTGATTCTAGTTAGTCTTCCAGATTTGAGAGCATCAGCACATTCAAAGAAACCCTAAACATCCAGTGCATCAAAAAACCAACGCAGGACATGGGAAGCAAACACACACTCCCCTACTCACATGTTTGAAGGATCCATGGGGGGCTGCAGTTGCTCCTGTGTCTTCTAGATACTCATCCCAATTGAATTCCATTTCATCCACACTGGAACCAGCATCTGAAAGAGAAGCCAAACACCTGTAATTTAGCAAGCTGTTGGCTTAAGTTTTAGGCTCCTACAAAGCACAGCAAAGCCTTCTTCAATTCCAAACGGCCGAGTACACAAGCGTGTGTCAGTTATACATTTCAACACACACACAACACCATCTGGCCTTTCTTTGTATGTCAACAGCACTCTTGAGTTGGACCTGGTCTGAAAAACAGCGAAATCCTGGGTTTTGGTTAAGCACAAATTGCTTACAGTTTGTGGGAGGAGAACACAGGCAGAAGAGCTCTGTGTTTGTATCAACAAATATAAAGGAGTCAAAACTTTTAGCACATTGGACGGTTAGTGTATTTAATTAAAAAACATCCAGGAAACAGCAATACCAACAGTAAGAGATTTGAAAAAGAAATAGTAAAAAAAAAATTTGAAATATCACTGTCCTCTTTTCTAAGTTAGGTAGTATGCATTAGATGTTTTAAAGCATCAAAAGCAGAGAGAGGGATTGAGGGTAGTTCTAAAGAAAACAGCTTGAGACATAACTGAAATCAAGACCACTCAGATTAGTCATTTTAAAAAGCCCAGTTCATAAGGTGTAACAGCTTCTTTAGACCAAGAAAATCTCATTTCAGGATGCATTTAAACCACGAATGTGCTAAAACCACTCAAACCACAGTTCAGATCTCACTCAGGCTGTTAGGGAAGCAAACACCTGGAGTGAGCCATGCTACAAATTAGTCAGATTTCCTATTATTATTGTCAAGCCTGTTCCCCAGCCCCAGCCTCCCCTTCAGTTCCTGGCTCACCTCCTCACTCCCTTCCTATTCTCATTTTTTTGCAACATGTAACTTACTCTGTTGAGAAGATGCCAAACCAGCAGAGGTTGGATTTCAGGTCCCCTATTTTAATCCAGCATGCAGCCACACCACATTTTTCCTGCAGGCACACAGTGGGATGACCAGGGAGGGTCCCACCTCATGCAGTCAGTGCTTTTAACCTCAACACACAAACTACAGCTTCAGGTTCAGCAGCAGAACGGGATGGCAGTGACGTGACACCAAAGCAGAGCCTTCATCTTCACTTTCAGACTGATTCCACCATCTGCACCATAGCTGTCTTTATGAATGAACAAGGGAGCTTTTCCCCTCTCAGGGGATCAGGAAACCCGATACCTTGTTTATACTTGAAAACAGAGAAATCTCTGTGTATCACAAGCCCGAGGAGAGCTCAGCAGAGGTTACAGGACACCAACACTTCCTACACTGAGTCTTCCTTAGGACAGGCAGTAACTGTTCTTTCCAGGAGTAGTAGCTTGAGTGGGAAACATTACACATCCAAAAAAAAAAAAAAAAAAAAAAGTACTGCTACATGCCCTTATCAGAGCCCTGGACATGCTGACAGCCTGCTAAGTATGCTCCAGCACAGTTCCTAGTCTGCCAATAGAAAGGGGCAAATATTTGCCCAAAAGTCTGAGATATGTTAAACAGAGGAAAAAAACTAAAAGTCTTGAGTGTAAGTAGGTTCAACTCATCTTCAGACTGATGGTTAAGCTCATCTTTGACTTTTCATTGTAACTCTAGGAGTTATTTCCCAAAACTCAGAAATGTATATTCAGTTAGCTGTTGTTTGCTGATGACAGTATCTGTCTTAAAGGAGGCTCTTATCTCTCCCAAACAACTTCTGTTGTTTTGAACCAACCACAGCTGGTTACACAGGCCTTTCATAAACCCCAGAGCTCAAAAGATTCAGAGTCTGAATATGACCATCACTTTTAAGGGACAATTTTTAACTTACTGAAGAAATGACCTGGAAAAATAAATAAGGAGTTTTATTTAGAAAAATTTTGATGGAGTAAAGAGGTTAATGCACACATTACAGCTGTTTGCAAATTAGGGTGAAGCTGATCAAAGCTTTGGCTGCAAGTCATTCCAAGAAAAATACAAGTGCATTGCAAAATGTTGTTAAAACAGATTAAGATTTCTTAACTCATTTAAAGAGAATTTTATTTTAATATGACCATAAAAATGTTTAAGTTCACAGCTCCAGAACCGAAGTGGGACCAATCAGCTCAGATGCAACACATATAGGTCAGTCAAGACCTGGAGCAAAGTCGGTCTAATTTTTCTCCTGACCAGAGCAAGTCAGCTCACCTCTTCCCACCAAAAACCACCCAGCTGCTCCAGGGCAGCAACAGCCCCGCTGTCCTCCCGCCCCAAAAAGCACTGCCTGCACCCTCCAACGCATTCCTGGTTTAGGGAAACAAAGCAACGGGACTGCTCTGTGCTTTTGAAGCAGTTTGAAATCCAGCGGCTCCATCTGGGAATCCCACACGGACCTCGAGGCTTTCCCGAGCCTCGCAGCACCGCCGTTCTCATCAGATAACTGCCGGAGGGGCAGTTAAGCTCCTTAAATGAGGCACAGGTCACTTCACACACTGAAAGGGTCAATTAGTAACTTCTGTTGCCACTTAATTGCTACAAGGAGCTCCAAGGAAAGCCAGTTCGCCTGCTGCTCCAGCGACCCTTTGCCTTTAACTACGGCTGAAACCATTCCCAACTGGATCAGCTGCCGCAGGTCCTTTGTCATTCCACTCACCCACAGTTTCTGCAGCCTGTCCATATCCAAACGAGCTTTTTCCTTCCAGGTGAGAAGGGCTCGGATTGCTCTGTACAGTACAGTGCCTAAATCTCATCAGCACACCAAAAGCTCACTTGAAACACATTTTTCACGGGAAAAACAAACAAAAAAACCCCAACCAAACCAAACCAACCAAAAAGTATCACAAATCCCCATACAACACTCATTGCAAACTTAATAGTCTTTCCGCTTTATTTCAGGGAGTTTCCCTGAATCAGAGGGATTTTTTTAAACTTTTTTTAAAAAGCACACACAGCTTTTGCTGTTCATTCATTCATTCATGAAAGTACAACTCAGTTTGTGTTTGCACCTTACTAAGGTTTTACAATTAAATGAGACAACTCTGAGACAACAAATGAGGTGAGGGCTGTGCTTAGCTATAATTTTAACCCATCTATCTGCTGCTTTCACACACAGCCCTGCCACAGCATTCCAGGTGATTTAGCACAGCACTTACAGGAGCAGGGTGGAACAGGAAAAGCTCATTGAATAAAGCTCCAAGCAAAAATGCTGTAGGAGGATTCATAGTGAGAGCAGTAAATTAGCTTTTTAATTGTGGTGTGTGGAAGGATTTCATAAACCATGAAAAATCTGAGACATCAAAGTCTCTCTTTTTCAACGTCTGAGTGGAGGAACTCTCCAAGAGTGCAGTGAAGGACCATCTCTCTGGTAAGGCTTTCAGAGTCACAGCCTTCCTGGTTTTATTGGCAGGACAAGTAGAGCAGGCCCTGCTTAAATCCAGCCTTTGATCTAGTCCATTGGTATTTTTGGCAAGACCCTCTTGCACAGGTCCATCCTCACAGGTTAGCAGATCCCAGGATACACAGTGGAGCAGTTTAAGGAAGCCACATTCCTGAGGGGCCACATGTCCCTATCAAACATCCTGATCAGTCTGAGTTCAAGCTATTCAATAAAACCAATAAAATAGCAATAAAAATTAACAGAACATCAGAAATTTTTGCTACTGGGAGAAATCTTGCACATGACTAGGACAGATAACAAGCAAAACCATATCTAATGCATTTGATTCTAAAGCACACTTTATCCATCTAATGCTGCATGGATGTACATATTTATTCTCTTTCTCCCCATATCCTTAATTGCTGCCAGTCCTAAACGAAATCAGCTTTCTCCTATGTGGAGACAGATTTTTCTCTATTAGACAGGATGACTGAGCAGCACATTAGCTCAGTGGCAAAGCAGAGCTTTGGCAAGGGCAGCAGAAGAAACCAGATGCAACTCCCATCTCTCTGGCCTTGCCATACAACTGGTTTTTGTCAGCAAAGCTTTCAAATGAAGCTAAAATTTTCTCCAGCAAAATCTGAGCAGTGTCCTACAGAGGTTCTGTGGAGAATTCTCATCCACTTGGAGGTGAGAAAATTCTCTGTAAGAATATCAGCAGTTTCCTAGGTGGGTATAACACTTCCCATTTGTCACTGTTTTTACTAGCATTATTGGGAACACTAACTCTTCCTTTCTGAACCTTGTCATGAATTACATCCTGCTGCTCTCTGATACATCCAGGAAGAGAAAGAATATGGAATTGTACCATTTGGACACAAGAATGTAAGGAAATATTAAGGAAGCTAGCCCTTAAAAATACCTGAAATGGAAACAGTCTCCACCAGGCTGTTTTGATCTTTGGATTTGAGTTAAATTCTCGCTGCAAATAACTTTCATGCATCTTTAATGTGATAGAGTTGAAGGCTGTCACATTGGACATTTAAGTACATCACACTGAGGTCTGCAAGACCTTCAATTAAGGCTAACCTAAAGGTTTCTCACCCTGAAATGTAGATATATTTCAATCTGATTTTAATAACAGTTAATCTTTTTCATCTATACCAGCTGCAAGACCATGAATAAATAAAGACAGGTTGGAATTTCAGCAGCTGAGAAAGACTGTGACAAGAATGAAAGTTGTCTTTTCCTCTCTTAGTGTGGGAGAGCATCACAACCAACAACCCTGACCACTGTCTGGGTTCTTGGGAGGCACAGAGCCTGTAAAACCAGAAAGACAGAGGGGAATCTCCAAAAACTGATACAAATTATCACGTGGAAAAAAATTACATAGGTCAAAGAATAGGAAGAATGTTCCAGTAGAAGTTTGGACTGGTCTAAGTCAAAAGCACTTCAGAAAACAGTATTTGAGGACACAACAAACCCAATGTGCTTATGCTTCCACAGGCATCATTTTCTGTGGACTCTCTCTGAATGCAGCAAGTAAAGCTCTTGTCAGTTATTGTTTGCTTTTCACAGCCTCCTGTACTCAAACCTGGCACAAAAGGATGCTCAGGAAAATAGCTGTTGAGCAATTTCAAGCCAATATCAAACCCTTCCTAGCTATTCCAAAAGCACAGACAGAGGACTCTGTGTCCTCTGATACTTTTCAAGGAAGATGCTTAGTACAGGCTTTAGTACCAAGGGATGTGCTACCAGGCTGTGAACACACCACTGCTGACCACTTCAACATCTCCTTACTGTTCCTCTCCCTTATGCTCTGGCAGAAGTCAGCAATTTCCTCCAGCTGAGGAAAAAGGCAGAAAGGTGACTGAAAACATTCCATATGCTTGTCTTTTCTTGCTTATTTGAGGATATAACATTGACAACAAATAAAAATCATAAAGCAGAAGACAGCGTTCTCCTAAAAGCACTAAAGATTAACCCTATATTTAACATTTCTTCGCTAAGACCAAAAGCAATTACATTTCCAAGAAGTAAAGGTACAAAAACTACCAATAGAGAATTTTCCTATGACAAGAGCAGCTTGCTGGACAAGTACCAAAGGAAGTAATACCCAGATGAAATCCTGATCCAGTTGTTTACACTGGTAACCACAAACTGAAATCTGCTTTACATTAACTGTACCTACACCATAGGAAGGGATCTCCTCATGAAAAAGGCAAACAAGACAGAAAAAAATAGATGATCCCTACCCCCATGAGAGGGTACAATCCCAAAACTGTTTCAGAAAGCTGTTAGTATTCCCAGCCATCCCAGACCTGGTGTTTCAAGGTGAACCAAAACCTGAGCTAATTTATCATAATATACCACCCTGCAGCAGGTTAGGGATTGATATCACAAGCCTATCAAAGTGGACACACCAAGGCACTTCAGAAAAACAGGACAGATTACAATGGCAGCAAATAACTTCAGTTATCTGACTTTTTAAAGCAGCAGCACAACCTTGTCAAAAATTTAGGAACATGATGAATACAAGGACAGACAAGATAATATTAACCACTTTGACAGACAAATGCCTTAAAATAGTAGCATTAAAACCACTGAGCTTTTCATAAGCCCATCATCTCATGGTGGTACCTCAGAGAGAGTCACAGCTTCTCAAAAACACAATTACTAAGGTGGGTGAGACTTTGTTCTTTAAGCCAGGGACACATCCTGCTTTGAAGAAAAGCAACAACAAACATAACCACGACAGCCCCATGGCCAGAATCTAAGCCCAAATCATTGCAATTTGCATTTCTCCCTGTGGACAGTGCACACCATCACACACATGCACGTTGGACATTCACTGTGCTCGGCTCTCTTCCATCTTGCTTGCCAAGTTTTTCAGGATAGTTGGCCAGGGAGCTCAGCTGGGCTATTACCTGCATCATACTGCTGTTCTCCATTCATCTCCACAGCAGCCTGGGGGTTGTTTCGAGCAGCCAGAAGCAGGGGAGCCCAAGGCTGTCACTGTGTGGTGGTCATGAGTCGCCTCCCGCCTTCGATCCTACTGGGAGCCAGGACATTCAAGAAGGAATCCTGGAAAACACCTGAAAGGAACAACTGGTAAGAAAATCTTTATGCAATTTTTAACTATTTTTAAGATAGAATCATAGCATGATTTGGGCTGGAAGGGACCTTAAAGCCCATCTCATTCCAACCCCCCTGGCCTTGGACACTTCCAGGGATGGGGCAGCCTCTGGGCAACCTGTGCCAGGGCCTCACCATCCTCACCGTAAAGAGTTTCTTCCTCATATCCAATTTTCAAACTTACTCCTATGAGCCATTAAATCATTATTTCATTATGAAGGGAAGAAACCAAGGAAGGACAGGTCTAAAGTGAGCCCAAGTTGAGTGCACTGGCAGTGAGTGAACTGGAAGTTTTCTTTATACACAAAATTCCCCATTAAAGCAAAGTTGTTTAGTAAATAAAAGCCTAGGTTACATGTTTATTTAATAACAACACACTTTGAGTGACAACTTTTTATATAAATCAATGAGATGGGGCCTGAAGTGGCCCTAAACCCAAGATTATTGGCTTAAAAATTCTTGTTTAAAAAAAATAATTTTAAATACCCTTTGCATTCTTGTTTTTTTGTTTTAAGCAAGGTACCAGAAATAAAGTAGAGGACTAAAAGTCAGCTTTTAAAAAACATAGGTGGCACTTCTGAGATAAACACATTTTTAATAATAATGGTTTAAAAAAAGTCCTACACATCTGAAAAGCCTTTGAGTTTTGTATAGCTATAGTGTCTATGGAAACCACATGATAATGCTTAGAGGTGGCTTCATTCACACAAAAATAAACCAACAAACTTGAACAGAATTAAATATCTTACAGCAGTGCTCAGCCCTGTACAAAGTTCTCAAGTACAACCAGAACTACACCTTCAAAAAATTCCATTACATGTGAAAATAAAACTTTTTTAGAGTAGCAAAGTTATCATTAAGAGCTCCTATTGAATGGTAGCTCAGCGCCACAAAAATCTACTGTGTAGAAGATATTAATAAGTTTTATTCATTCCAGCTCCAGGAATGTGTGTGCAAGGGAACTTGGCTGTGATGAGCTTCTAACCTACTGCACTCCCGCTCAGAAAGGCTGTGCTCAGCACGTAATGCAAGGTCACACAACTCCCAATTCAGCTCAGCCTCTGTGAGAAAGCTACTGAGAAATTAAGCACAGGGACCACTCTCAGTGTCCAGTGGTTCCTTACACACTTCTTCCATGCTCTCAGGACAAAGCAGGATAAGATAATGGAAGCACATGTTCCCAGCCCACCCTCTCTCAAGACTTTCCTCCTACAGACAGACTGAGTTTCCATTTTTCCATCTTTCATAAAGTAATGCTGGAAGATGATGTCACTGGCAACCTGCACGATGCTTGGCACACAGGGAAGAACCAACAAAATACTTTATAATCATATAACCATTCATCAAAATATTTCTTGCTACATCATAGGTCTATCAGCTGTCACATTGCTAAGCCAAAACAAAGGCAGTGCTGTGAAAAAGCAAAGCACGGAGTCCAACAAGTCTGGGGATAAGCCACTGGTTTTTAACAGTGAAGCCCTGGCAAAGTACCCTCAGAATTAATTGCAATTAAGTTATTTTCAGTTCGTGAGATTCAACTCTCAATTAGCATCTCTAACTAAAGCAGGTGATGTAAACTATCTGTTTCTTGCAACATGAAAATATTTCAGACACCTCCCCCTCCCACCCTCCCAAAAATAAAAATCACACAACCATACCCCAAACACCAAAGAGGCTGTTGATTTAAGAAGATGCCAAACACTGGCAGCTCCTGTTGAAGTTGATTGATATTCTGCCCAAGTCAAGTTGGGTAGTAATTCAGGATCTCATAAGCAGCCCTGGTGTTTTATGTACACAAAATTGAGAGTACTTGTAATTAGCACCCGCCAGGGCTGTGCCTACAGTCTGGCACCCCAAAGATTATCTTTTGATAAATCTCGAGGGAAGGGGAGCACAAGTGCTGCTGGAACAGAGCTGATTTGGAAATACTTTGGACTCTTCAGTCTCACTTCTGCATTTCAAATCTCCTTTCAGCACATGAAATATTCAGATGTTAGCAACTGGAGGCAGTATTAAAAACAGTTACAGTTCATTAAAGCCAGATGGCTCACTTGAATATGAAAAGAAATCAAACATAAGCTGGATGTTGAATTAAAGTAAATCAGCTGGTGTCTGAGCCTTAATATTATTTTAAAACAAAGGCACAGGAGACAACGGGGACAGGAGACACCCCTAAGGACCAGGGAAGAAGCTATGGAAAGGATCAGGTTTCAGTGAATTCCTTCATGCCAAGGCATCCAGTAAAATCTACTTCAGCCCCCTGTGTCTACCATAGAGAGCTTCCCTCTGCCCAAGCAGGCAGGAAACCTGTTGCAGGTTGCCAGGGCATAGAAGGGGTTCCTCAGCACCTGAAACCTGCAGCTCTGCTTCTGAACACTGAGATAAATCTGCTGCTAAAGCAACAGGGAAGGTAAAGGTCCTTTTGTTTTCCTTGGACCATATCCTGGAAGAGGGAGGAGAGGGCCAAATGTCCTCCTGGTCCCTATGCCCATTCACACATATACCTGTGCTTTTTCACTTCAAGGAAATACTAATTATGTGTATAATTAGACCCCCTGTGAGGGGAGACAGCCCATGCACTTCATTCAAAGACTTTTTGTAACAAATCTTTTATTGGAGGATTCACAGTTATGATACAGGCAGTGCCCTGTTCAGCACCTCTTCTAATTAGGTCCAGTGTTTGCAGTGGAGATTCTTGTTGTCATTTCAAAGAAATCTATTCAGGACAAAAGCACCCCTCTACTTCAAACTCCTGTCTGGGAAAAAAAATTCAGGAAGAACAATGGGAAGTACAAAGCTGGTCCAGATGAGCACCCAGCAGTAGCAGCAGCAACCCTTTCCCAGCACACACTTACTCAGCAGACCCCTTCAGTGAATGTTCCCATTCCTCTTCCTTAGGCACAAGCTCATCATAAAAGCTCTTCTGTGGTTCAGATCTAAAACTCTTAGGACAAAATTAGCCGAGAGACTTTTCCTTCCCAGAGAAGGGACTGCACCAACACTCCATGCCAGAGGGCCACATCCTGCTGCTGCACTGACTGAGGCTCCAAACCACAGGGCAGAGATCTCCCCCAGCCTTATTCCTGATCCTGCCACATGTAACCTCAGCTACAACCTGCTGTCAGTGCCAGGTGCTCACTTGCCCTCCGCCTGTATTAGTGCTGCAGAAATCAGCGATTTCCACAGCCCCCAAAAGACATCTTCAAGCTTATTTTTTAACCTTTTTCCTAACCTCACACCACTGCAGTCAATCACCAGTACAGGCCTCAGCTGCCCCTTTTGCTACAAGCAGGTGAGATCGTGGCTCCAGGGCAGAAGGGGGATGTTCAAACCAAGATTTGTGTGTGACTGGGCACTTGCAGGTCACACATCTTATCACTGCAGAAGCAGATCTAAGGTAGCTGAAATGCAGTTGCACAGGTCCTTTCCCCGAGGAGAAAAGCCAGGTGCAGAACATCAGCCCTTCGGACAACACATCTGCACCCTCCCAGAGGACAAAGAGACTCCACCCAGGACCTTCTAGGATGACAACTTAAATTGAAGTGTTCTAAATATCAGTAGAGTTTAGTAAAAAAAAAAAAAAATTTAAATTCTACAGCACAACCAGAACTTGATGCAATAAACTATTCAGGTAGAAGCCAACTTGATTTTAGGTTCAACTTACAAGTTCATACTTGATTCCTCATAAATGCTTTTGTGAAATCCATTCCAGGTATACTGGTGAGTTTTGTATCACAGCAGTTGGGAGTACTCTTACTTAGTGTTTTCAGCACAAAACAAGTAAGATACAGTGCAAATTTCTCAATCAGAACCAAAATCAACAGTGCTGGAGAAAATTAACTTTCAAGCTATTCAGTGTGAGTTTCATTCACTCTTTTGTAGCAATTCACTTGCAGTGCAGAAATAGCCAAACCTCCACAATTAGAATCAGTACATTTCTTTAAACAGCCACATCCTTTTGGGGGAAAATGTCTGATGCTTCTATAACAAAGCAATAAAAATACTACCAATTTCATTAGTCACAGCTGCTGAAGGAATGATCCCATCCAATGTGGAGAACAGAAACCTTTGGCTGACTTGCAGTTCTTTAAAGTGTTATTTTTACACACACACACACAAAACAGCCGGTCTGTAAAAAGGAGTTTATTTGCTTGTTTCTGTAAGGACTTACCAAAGATAAACAAATATTTGAATGACCTTTAATTGTATGTAGGACCACCCCCATTTTCCTTAGGCTGTCTTGATGGCATACTGGGTGCCCCAAAACAAACACAGAACTTTCCTATGTTAAAAAAATAAATAACAGGGCCAACCGTGCTCCCACATTTTTGCAGCTGCAAATCCAACCATAAGCAAACCCACTCTGAGTTTACCACATTCTGCTCTCGCCCCTCTAACCTGTCTTAAGAGTCAAATCAGACACTTTTGTGCTCTTGCAGGAGGTCACAGCACCCTGGGCCGGTGCCCAGCCCTTCTCCAGCAGCTCCGGCTGCAGACTCTGCCCATGTGGTGTCCCAGGGCCACAGCAGCAACCAACAACCAACCATCCCTCAGGAGGAATCTTTATTTCAACACGAGTGGTCAACATTTCTGAAGTTTCAGCCCCTCTAATCTCTGTCTGCCAAGTCTCCTGTTGTCACTTTACTTGGGCTTTGTCCTTGCAAGGGTAGAAATCATGTTAGCCTTAACGCTTGGCTCCTGCTCCTTGCAAAGGAAGCTTTCTTGAAGACACGGCACAGATTCCTGCAGTCCCTGTCATCTCTCTGCCTGCCAAGAGCATGCTTGAGTTTTCTTATCTGAGCACCTTCTGTATGGCCTCTGAGAACAAAACCCATTGAACATGAAGATTATATATGTATATAAATGCAAATAGGAACTATTATCACCAGAGTTGGATTAATTATTAAAACTTAGGATATTTCTCTCACACCTGCACTGCAATCTCTGCTCACAGACCAGT